ATATATATGTAGCGAGCGGTTGATTAACCCAACGTACGATCATTTCGACCCCTCCAGCTCGTTCCACAGATCTTCACTTTCTCAGTTTTATAACCGCCGCTTCCGTTTTGATAGTGGAGGTCTGTTTACATTTAGTAGTTACTTCCTTCAGGGGATCTGTTCACCAGGTAATGGCAACCATTTTTAATGGCAATATACTTCATTCCGAATTATTGTACGTCATTTTGCTCAGGTACTTGGTTTGCAAAAATCTTTTGTCACCTATACTGCATATGGCTGGATGTCCGGTTCCCCCTGCGAAAGTGGATCCAAAAGTTACCAACGGTCTTGAGGGTTCTGGTTTTAAACAAAAAGTCCGGAAACCGCCTGGTGGGGACCGTCTTCTCGTAAACACACAAGATGGGGAATATGGCGTGTTGAATCCTGAAGTATCCGGGGTGGTTGGTGAATTAATCGAACATTTTTTGGCAGTGAACGAATCCTTAGGTTCAAAGGATTCGGTCAATTCAGCAGGGGATACTTCACCAGCAGGCGCCCAAGAAGTCCTCCGTTTGTGTCCCCCCGAAGCCTTGAGAGGCGACAACGCTTTTATGGAGTTTTTTGTTTCGATGAATCAAGAGTGAGTTTCTTTTGGGCGTTGTGTTCGTAGTGTTTCTCCGTGTAAAATGCGTCCACTTTGAACGCTCTTGGCTACACCCTTCAGGCGTAACCCATGAAGCGAGTTCCCTTTACCGGAGACTTCTTAAACCAGATATCTTCTGATTATTAATTCCGTGTACACACAGCTAGATATCCGCTATAGACCAACCAGTCAGTTGGGAGTTCAGTGAACAGTTTGCCAATGAAGCCCCCGGATGAGGATTAATTGCCTAGTAGATTGCACCTCCCACACACAGTCAGACAGTTTCGGTAAATGCATGGTCGGTGTATTCAATATTTGACTCATCGAGAACTAAGGATGGAGGCATTTGTTTCAATTCCTCTCATTGGCTCAAGTGGTTAGAGCGCAGATCTACTGGCTGGAAGGTCTGTGGTTCGAACCCGACTCCTACATCTCGACTTCCCTGCCTAGGCTTGGGCAGCCCCTGTGCCTCCTTCGAGTGGCATGGCAGCTAAGCACTGGAAGTGTATTACAGCTGAATGATTTATTGGCAGCACGTAGATGTTTGCTGCATGAACAGGTTTCCCAGTGGCTTGCTAACTGGTTCCCAATTTTGTTTCAGGTTCCTTGAACCTCAGTGTGTTGCACTTTCAAAGTTGCTAACCTTTGTACATAACCAACAGTTGAGCGATTCCCGTCAAGGAGAGCTGAAGATCGCTTGTCTAGAAAAATGGAAGGTGAGCTGTTTTATCTGTCCCACATCGACTCCGTTCCTCAGAAGTTGCAACGACAGTTTTACAGTCCTGTAATGAAGTCGAATTATCGACTGACGTAAAGCGGATTCTGTTAAAAGTCAGGTTTACAGCGTTCGCTTAAAGTTGTGCACATGAGTTTTTCAGCCTTTAAAAAATCCTAAGCACCCGTGAAAGGAAGAAACTTCGTGTCAGTTTATGGTAATTATTGGATAGATAGGACTAGTCGTTGTGTTAGGGTTCAACTTCTTGGTGGATTTATAGTTTTGAATATAAACAAATTCCGCTCTCTTTTCCTCCACCAAACAGAATAACGTTTCCTGGACACAAACTCCACAATAGTATCTATCTTATTTACACTCTCCAGCGTTATCAGCTTGCTCGAGTTTTCCCAAATAATGCTAAGGTATAATGAACCATTGAGAAAATGAACTTCTGAGGGGCCAGTTGCGGAAAATGTCAGTGAGATGTTCTGGTCCCAGTATGACATTTGCTACATAATGGCCAATGATTTTTTTCGCTCTGACAAGGGACCTCTGCTTACTGACACTTATCCTTATGACGTACCTCATTATTCTCTAATGTTGTCACTACCTTCATGAACTGTTCAGCACATGGTCTTTTTCCCGTGTCATTCCCTTCATTCTGCAAATCCCGGTACCATGCACTTCTCATTTTCATTCACCATACACGTGTATCAGTAACTAACTGTCCAACATGCGATACCTTTATGGAGTAGGCAGTTCTGGTGAACATAAGCATGCGTACTCTTGGGAAAACTTCACCAAAAGAAACCCAAAATACAACGCGGATGTTAAATGAAGAGCATTCTTTTCCAGGATGGAGTATATTCCGATTACCAACCAATATAGTAACCTTTCTCTCACCTTCCATGTTCAACTGTCCAACAGCAAGGGAATGTGTTAACTTTCGAGACACAGTGGACTGATCCTTGCATATGAACCTAGAAAAGAGTCTTGCCCACTGTGGAAGGCTGAGTTAGCTTTCGGTAACCGAATAGGCCACCTAAATGTGACCATGTCGTCGAGTGTATGTGTGATGAGGAAGGTTTGTCTGTCCTGTGAACGAGGTCAGGCTATGCTGAAAAGCAGAGAAGCATTGTACAACTGTTTAATCCTTGTTGGGAGTCGTCCGTAGTGTGTGTCTCACGGAACTCCAAGGAGTTCCTCTATAAGCTCAGTGTTAACGGATGTTGGAAAAAATGTAGAGGACCGATTACCTGGGACAAACCCATTTGCTTTACTGCAAAATAAAAACAGTTATTGTGCACTGCTACTGCCATTATCCCGTTGTTATGCTAACTAGTGATAATCACTGAAAAAAAACGATCCGGTAATTAACTGCTTGTAGTCATCCAGTTCATCAGTTTGTTTCTGCTTCTCTATCTATACTCCCCTATCCCTTTTTTATATGTAACTGCAGATCAATCCGACGGATCGGCGACAAGTTCCATGGCCACTGATGACCTTTAATCACTCGGCAGTTATACATGGTCTCTTGGGTGTAAGTTTCCTCCTCTTTCCGCAACATCTGTTTGACAGTCTTCTAGGAGTACGCATCTCCAGCGATGAGACAAACGAATGTAGCATTTTGTCTGACTCCTCTTCGCAGTTGTTTGCCACCCTCTTCTTAAGGTGTCACCTCTCATGTACTTCAAGGATCAACAACAATATCATGGACAGCAGCACCAGATGAGTACACCGGTGTTTCACTCCTGTACAGTCAAGTCAGTTTATCTGAATTAAACCGTATAATAGGACCCCGACCTAAAGCTGCCACCTTGACGTGGTGGTCGGGCTTGAGTGCTGCAATGATCCCGCGGGCTACACTGGCTGGAACTTCGTTCCACAAGGT